GAGAGATTTTGCAAATAAAGTCAAAATTCACATTTGCAAATTTTCCCAACAATTAGACCACATATCACATGGGAAACTTATTTTCTTTTATTTTTTTGACATTTCCATCATTTTCTTTTATTTTTCTTAAAACTGAAAAGGCGATCCTGGGGGGTATAGTTTGAAAATGGGACCTTTAGTACGAACCGTTTGAGGCACGAACCGGGACCAATGGTTGTGGGCCAGGAGCGAGGCCCATTGGTCCCGGTTCATGCCACCAACCGGGACCAAAAGGTCTAGATGAACCGGGACCAATGGCCCACGTGGCCCGGCCGGCCCCCTGGGCTCACGAACCGGGACCAATGCCCCCATTGGTCCCGGTTCTGGACTGAACCGGGACTAATGTGGTTACCCGGCCTGGACCAAAGCCCCTTTTTCTACTAGTGCAAGCATCTCCACGATTCTGCTCCCACAAGGGGTGGAGTATGGTGATAGAGACACCACGTTGGCAGGGGCCAATAATGCTTCCGGTGTGTATCTCATCCATGCCAAGAAGCTTCAACTTTGCATTTGGCTCCACAAAGGGGACAACTGGTTGCTGGTGCACAATATTTGTTTGCGTGAGATGGTTGCTGGTTTGAGGATGACAGGTCGCAAGGATGAGAATGAGGCTACTGCTCCTCTGCGGATAAACCATGTGGGGGATTATGACGAGTTTGTTTTCTTGGAGATGGGTCGATGCACACTCCACCTGGATATCAAGTACAAGAAACTGCGTAAAGTTTATGACCTGGAAGAAAAAGATCAACATTTGGGTGATATCCATCCTTTCATGATGATTTGGCCTCCCACATTTCCTACAGTCAAGTATGATCCTGTGACGTTTATCGTTTTGCACGCTTGTCGAGTTTAGAGACTTTTGTTGTGTGCATCGTCCATTGCATTTTTAGGTACTGTTGTTGAATGATTATGGGTATGTATGGTTCATTCTTTAGGCTATTTTAACAGTACTAGTTAATTGACTAGATAATGCTTGTGTGCAATGATTTGCAATCACTTACTGGGGTAGTGTTTGTATGTGGTTGTGTTTTTTTTTCAAAGCTTTGTTATGGAACCAAACATAATGCTTCTTGAAACTGCCACCCCCCTTATAAAGTCTCATAATATCAGTTTGTGATGGTACTGAAAAATGATTTATTTTTGTGTTCTTAGCATGGACCTCACGTTCTGTTGTAGCATTGTTTTCTGAACTATCAGCCCAAAATAAAAAATTTGATCTTGTTGCTTCGCGAGTTGTACATGTTTTTTGGAACACTAGTGGACCATAACTTTTATGTGGGTATGCTTGAGCTTGTGTATGCTTTGTAATTCAGATATATAACAGTCAAAAGTTTCCTTTTGTATGACAATTGGCAAGTTTCTAGTCCAAGCTAATAGTGGGCAATTTGTGTTTGTGTGGCGTCTTCATTATAGATCGGAGTTATGCTGTAACTGGAATGCAGATTATAAATTGGAACCATGTTCGTCTGGGATATGATGCCATTTAACCTGTACTGTTGTAGCATTTTCGGAAGTAAAAAAAGTAAACTGTATGGTCGTAGCAGATTCATTATTCGATTTCCAAGCACATGGTTTTAGTATAGTTGTACTCGCCAATTATCTTAGTTCACATAAACTTTGATCCATAAAGTGGCCGAAAAATATTCTGATACTAAATTACCTTCATCCTGATATTTCCTCTGTTTTCTTTGGAACAGAAATGCCATGTGAAGGGGGATCTCCTCAAGCTTTTGGATGGCCGGCGACCAGGAAGAACAGGGAGCTGCATTTCCGTAATTGGTGGCAATTTTAACTATCTTTGTTATAACCTGTAGCAGATTAATTAGATGCTATGTGACCCGAGCAGGTAGTCCTATCCTGTGTACCATGACTGTTTTGTGCACGTGACTTCCTACATGCATGTTTAGTTGCTATCCTGTCTCGTATCCACTTGTGTCACAGTCTTGTGGTTGGTCTGCTTGATTGCTACGTATGGTGTCTGCAGCAACTCAGTAGTAAGTAAATTCAGTACTTTGAAACACTTCTGCATCTCGTAGTTAGTTCGGTCGACACTTCAATTGAATTGACGAACTGCAACTGGGATTCACTTTATTAGGATTTGATTCATTGCTTGATGTTTTCGATGCGAGGTAGCAAGAAGGAAAACAAACAGAGAAGCTAGTTCCATTCCTCTGTAGAGCTGGTCGATCCCATGTTTATTCTAATGCAAAATTTTGTACTGGTTGAGGAGGTGCTCTTTTGGTATATTGTGTTGTGAGAACCATGTCATGTTGATGCTCTGAATTTTTTGTTTGTTAGATAGCAAAATTTTGGACTAGATCAGGAGGTGCTCTTTTGATATATTTGTTGTGAAAATCATTTACTCTTCATGTTTCTGTCAGAGATCCTTTTTCAAGGATATTTTCATGTCATTCTCAGTTTTCTAGAGCATTTCTTGATCATTTTGACTTGTCTATTAGAGTGGTCCTGCTATTTTTGTTGGTGAGTCTGTTTTTGGTGAGCAGTTTGCTTTAAAGGAAACATAAGTTGGCGGTTAAAATTTACTTATTTCGTCAGAAGCACTTGCCTGGTGTTTTTGTTGCCGGATACACATTGAATTTTCTGAAGGACAAGTATCTGTTGTTTATTCCCATGCCCTGAATAATCGTTGCTTATTCTGACATTTGTACTACTGAACCCGAACCAATTGCAATTCTGAAATTGAACCAATCCCATTGTTGTTAAAACCTGGAATCAAATTACTTAGCCATGCATGGTCCAGCCCGTTGTATATTACTTCTGCATTTTGTATTATTAAATGCTCCCATATTATATCCAGACGGTTCTTTTGTCAAAGTCATAGAGAGGAGAAGAAACCTGCTTCTGAAATCAAAGGTAGTCACGTTGTATCTAACAAAAGTAGAATTTGAAAATCCTAGAGGAGGTCGTTTCCCTGCATCGAGGCGTCTTTGGCTGGGTTGTGTTGTCGAGCAGCTGATTCTCGATGATATTCGCTTGTCTTCGCTACTACTAGCTTCTAACTGTGTTTGTTCATAGCCGAGGCCAGCCTTGTATTTCGTTGTCAGTTTTAGAGTACATCAGAAGCTGGTTATACTCTATACTGGACTACATAAGCTACAGTACCATTACTGTTTGAGTTTGAGATCTTAATTCGTTTGGTGGTTGGGAAGTAAGAATACTAGGAAATATATATACATCTAGTAGTTGGTTACTGAATTAAGGAAAGTTAATTCATGTACATCATCCCAGATTTAACTTGATCATCTTCATGGCATAAATTTGCAGTATGGCGAGGGTGCAGAGTCCATATGCAAGCTAAAACTTAGATTCTGGACATGCTTCAATCTCAGTCTCTGCGGAATTCAAAATGTGCCATGGTACAGAAGTTAGGCCCATTGTTTGATTCTGATATGCATGCTTCAAGAATTAACCTGAAAAAAAGATACAGGTTTGGAGAATATATAGATTGAATCATTCTTGAAATGGAACTATTCAGGAATTAATTACATGTTAATTAAATAACTGGGTTCTTTTTTTGCGGGAATTATTAAATAACTGGGTTCATTTGCAGCACCTCAGTGAAATTCCTCTTTCCTTTCTTGCTTGGGTCTCCTGACCCTTTGTATTTTTTTTCCCTTTCCTCTCTTGCTTGTTTGGCTCTTGGCTGAATCTCTATCTTTTCCCTCTCCTATAATTCAACAGCAAAGCACCTACCTTTAATCGTAAAAAAAATACTGACTCAAGTCAGTTTGCTCTAATGTTTAAAGAATACAAACCGTTGGTAAAAACGGCAAATAAATGCATTACTTTGACTTTTGAGCGCACATAAGACATAATGTTGTAACTACTGTTGCATTATTCTAATCCCTTGAACAAGAAGTTTTTCCAGATGAAAAACATTACTTTTTTGTAAACCAAAATGCATTACTTTTTTTCACGGGAACCAAAATGCATTACTTTGTTATTACTGCCTGAGAAAAATAGGCTGGCTATTATTTTCTGCATGGGGACAGGAGAATATTTTGCAGATGGGCTCCTACCATGGGCTGCTCTCCAATGTAAATGGGCCTTCACTGTTTGGACCTGAGCTGATATGCTCACACCGACACTCCCTCCCCTGCCTCCTCTGACTTCTCACTTCACTCTCTGCCACACTGCAACGCAGCGGCCGGAAGAAGCGACAGCCGCCGGGATTTCGCCGGCCATCCGCGGCGGCTGCGTTCATCCCCATCTCCATCTCCAGATCTGAGGTTAGTCTTTCTCCTTCCCCAGCCCGATCTATTCTTCTTTTTCCTCTCTTCTCTTCTCTTGGGGGGATGGGGATCAAACCCTAGCTACCTACCTACAAATTCCCCCCCTGAACTAAAGAATCTGTCTACAAATTCTTGTGGGGACGGCAGTGTTCATCTGGAAAGATAGAAGATGGATGCTGCTGCTGAGGAGGTTCGCCCCCGCCGCCGGCAACGGTAAGTTCACTCTGTTTGTGCACTCTGTTTTCAAGGTTTGTGCACTCTGCTTGTGTTTGTGGCTGTTGTGCTTGTGCTTGATTGTCTCATGGATGCACTAAAATGCTGTTGTATGTCCACTACCGGTTGCAGCTTGTTTGCAGCAGCATTACTGGTTCAAGAACTTGGGTCTGATGCTCATCTGCATTTGTTTTTTTTGGCTGCTGTCCATTTTGCAGGGTCAAACCATGTGTGGATGGCGAGACGGAGCAGCCATCCAATGCCGTACCCAAGGTCCTCGGTGACGACAACCTCCTCAGGGAGATTATCGTTCGTGTCGGCTTCCCCACCACCCTTGTCCGTGCCGCCCTCGTGTGCAAGCGCTGGCTCGGGCACGCCGCCGACCCCGCCTTCCTCAGCCGTTTCCGCAAGCTCCACCCACCCTGCCTCCTAGGCTACTACCTCTCCGAGCGGTCGGTCGCGCCGGAGTAGCAAGATGCTCCACGCTTTCACCCAATGTTGCCTCAACCCCTGCATCCAGAACTTTTCGGCCCTGCCCCTGCCACCTACCATTTTTCTGCTCCACGCTTTGTCCCGGTGCTACCTCAGCCCCCAGAGCTTGCCACCGTCATCCGTCACCTTGCTGACTATAGGTTTGGTGCCCATGATGGCGGTCTACTGATCAAGCACTGCCAGAACGGCACCGTCTTCACCGAGCACGACATAAGAGAAACAGAATTGACACTTGGAGCGCACCGCCCGCTGTGCCCTGAGAGAGGTATGCCCATAGTCCCACCGTTCCCGTCCGTGGAACGCAATCTCAAATGGTTCGGTGCAATGCTCTCCAAAGAAGGCGGTGACGGTGGCTTGTCCTACATCTATATTTTGGGTACCAAGGACTCGGGGAAGTGCCTAGTGCGTGTGTATGCATTGCAGGATGGTGTTTGGTGCCTGCATACCGCAGCCACATGCCAGCGCCGTCGTATCCATTGGGAACCAAAAGCTGTGCTTGTTAACAACAAAATCTATATACCATCCGTTGGTGATGAGATTGTTGTCTTGGATTTGACGACCTCAAGTTTCTCCATAATTCAGCTCCCACAAGGAGTAAGCTATAACTATTTTAGAACCATGTTGTCACCGGCCGATGATGCTTCTGGTGTATATCTCATCCATGTCGACGGATTTCAACTTCGGCTCTGGCTCTCAAAGTGGGACAACTGGTTGTTGGTCGATACCTTTTATTTGAGGATGTTAGATCACACGCTTGAGGATGAGCATAATGCAAATGTCCAGATAAGCCAGGTTGGAAACAATGCTGAGTTTGTTTTCTTGAGGATGCGTGGATGCACACTCTATCTGGACGTCACGAGCAAGACACTGCATAAAGTGCATCAGGACACAGAAAATGATCAACATTTCAGTTATGCCAAGCCTTTTATGATGATTTGGCCGCCCATATTTCCTGTGCTCAAGGATGATCCAGCAAGGTTTGCCTTTTATGATGATCATCTATATATTGCTCTTGTTGAGATCATGATTTTTTTCTTCTTTTAGACAACTAGTGGCTAGTCCAAGCAAACAGTAGTCTGCTTGTTCGCGATGCACTTCTCCTTGTATGATTAGTTTTCTTTTACTGAAATACAAACTATGACATGGAAACAAGTGGGTCTGCAATATGAGGGCATTCAAGTTGTACTGGCTGTAGCTTTTTATAAGAAGAACATATGTTTTTGGACCAAGTTGATTCTTTTGATTTTTTTAGTGCTTATAGCATGGGCCTCTAGTTCTGTTCTCTGAAGTGTCAGTGCGAACTACAAATTGGGCCTACAAAAGTACTCCTGGTCTTGTTATCATGTTGCCCACTGTATAAGAGCTGAAAGATGCTTAATCTTGTTAACATATTGCACACTCCTTTTTTTGTCTTGTTATATCATCGCACACCCAACAAGCATGAAATTTTGCCTTCATGTCTCTTGAATATAATAACTGTAATTTTCTGATACATACCTTTGAACTCTGAACCAGCAGCTATGTGCCTTTGAACTCTGAACCTGTAGTTATGTGAGATTTATAACACTTGTTTTTTCCTGAATGTTACTGAATGAATCGTATAATTCTTTCTTGAACACAAGCAGAATGTAGGTACGCGGGGTATGCTTGAGCTGATACTTGATTTGTGATTCTGGCAATATATCATACTTGGTAATTTGAGTTTGTGTGGCATTTCTTCCTCAATGGTCAGAGTTCATTTCATTTGAATACAAAATATAAAATGGAAATACGTCCGTCTGGGATATGAAGGCATTCAATTTGTACTGCTCTAGCTAGTGGGAAAAAAAGTAACTATAGTTCTGAACCACAGTCATTATTTCAATTTCTGGGCACAACAGAAACTATATTCACTATCATTGTTATATCTGCTTTTCTTGTCAGGTCATCTGTTATGTTGATGCATAAAAATGGCAAAACAAATGGATGCTATCCTGAACCTCCTCTGCTTTCTCTGAAACAGGGATGCCATGTGAAGAACAAGGACATGTCGGAGCTTTTGGATGGCGAGTGACCAAGGCTCCAGCAAGGAAGAGAAGAGAGCTACATTTCCTTCCCTGCAATTCTAGTAACTATCGTTGTTATAACTTTGTCGAGTAATGGATTAATTAGGATAATAAGTAACCGAAGTATGTACCCCTATCATATGTGTCATGACAACTGTTTGTGACTGAGGTCTGTGTTTCGTGAAATACTCCTTGTTTGTATGTTTATTAGTGATATTGTCTGATCCTCTTTCGTCGTACTGTTGTGTTTGCTCTACTAGTGATGTACAGTATTTGTGGAATTGGTCTTGGTGTTCACCATTGCTGAAAATTGAAATGTCGCTTTGACCTTTGAGGCTAACATATTTTCGGCTACACACGGGAGGGCCATACAAGGTGGACAGCCCAGCCCCAAAGTGCACTTTAGCTGGTTGATTCAGCAGTTCTTTTTTCTTTTCTTCCAGGGAGGATGATTCAGTAGTTGGTACATGGTCAGCCCAGCCCAGAAGGAATGCAGGCTTCATACAGATGATCAGAAGTATATATCTACTAGTAGATTGGATGATTAAAACTGTAGGGGGCAGGGCATCTGTATCAACAATGCATCCATGACCCCCAACTTTTTTTTAAGCCGTGTCCCTTAAGGCTCCAATTCATTAAAAAAAAAAGGTAGAAGAGAGTTCCTGGTTTATTTGTGAACGTTACAACACGCCCACAAGAAAAGGGCACCCTGCGAACATGGCTATCCACAAGACCCACATACATCTCCAAGGAGAGATACCATGGAGGTTGCCTACAATGTCATCATCGTCACTTCTTACCGACCAAGCGAGTCCGACTTCACCGCGGGGAGCGGACGATCCATCGAGACTTCTCTGAACAAACGACATACAAGAACAATGTTGGCCTATGCCAAACAATCGGCCAAACGCGTCAAGGACTATGCAATTCCGATTTCAGTCACGAGTCTCGCCAAATCTAGGGTTCATATGAACATCATCATAGCAACAACATATGAAATTTGCCCTAGCTAGCAGAGAGAGATGGAGAGAGAGAGAGAGAGGGAGAGAGAGGAGGGCAGGGGAGAGGCTTACGGTCGGCGGCTCGGGCGGGCTCCAGGGAGGGCTCGGGCGGCGGCGGTGAGGTCGTGGGCGGACTCGGGAGGCGGCGGTGAGGTCGAGGGCGGGCTCGGGCAACGGCCGGCGTCGAGGGCGTGCTCGGGCGCAGGGCAATCGATGGCGGCGACAGATCAAGTGGGGGAGAGGGGGGAGGGGGGAAAAGGACTTAGCAAAATTTTGAGCCCGCGTGTGGTTAAGCCAAACTAGCAGTAGCGCCGGTAGGAAAAACGCGCTATAGCTAAGTTAGCTATAGTGCTTTCCACCAAAACGCGCTACTGCTACAGGAAGTAGCTATTTATTTTTCTTTTTCTTTTCCTTTTATCTAAGGAACTTAGCTATATCACGGGCACGCAGAAAGCGCTACTGCTAACGTAGCTATAGCGCTTTGTGAGAGCACGCGCTACTGCTATGCCTTTCTCCTTTATTTTATTTTTTTGTTTTTCTTTACATTTTAATTTATTTATTTCTCATTTTTCTATTTCTTTCATTCTCATTTACCTTTCTATTTATTTTCTTTTTCTTAGCAGTAGCACTCTACCATAGAAACGCGCTGCTACAAGGCACTTAGCAGTAGTGCGCTTTCTGCAGTAGCGCTCTACCGGCAACAGTGTGAGAATTATAGTAGTAGCGCTTTGTTCTAACCAGTGCTACTTCTATACCTCTATGTATAAGGTTTTCTCTAATAGTGGATGGTGGCGTCGTGGGCTTGCAAGCCCGTGGCGTTGGAGTGAGAAGCTCTGGGTGAAAGCCTAGACGCCATGTCATTTGTGGACGTCGGATTTCCTCCTTGGGAGGACTTTGTGGAGATTCTCATTCTACAACTTTGGACCCTGGCCCTCGATTGGTAAGCAACAGGCTGAGCCCCTCCAACTTAGAATGACCCACATGATGCCCCCTATGTCATATCTCCTCGTCCCCATCCCAAGTGCGTGCGGCACAGCACTCGCAGGTCATTCGATTCCCCCTTTCCCCTCCCTCCCTCCCCTGCCGCCACCTGCGAGGCGCCAGGGAGGGCCCCAAATCCCCGCCGCCGAACACCCCTCCGCCTTCCCTTCCTCCCTCGCCGCTGCCAAAGGGCGCGGCCGGGCGAAGCCCGGTCGTCGCCGGCGGCGGCGAGGCCTTCTCGTCCCCCGCGCGTGAGGGTTGGCGCGGATCCGATCTCGCGGGCGGGGCGCTGCGCTCCGTGTCAGGCGTGGCGGCGCCCCGGAGCAGGCCGGCGATGGTGGCGTGGCGTCGGGCGGCGGATGGCATGGTGGCTGTGCGGGCCGGTGTGGCATCGGCGGCGGTGTTCCGGCAGCGCCTCGGCGTCGCGTCCGGTCCACGGGTTGCGGCTGACCGGGTCGCGGACCGCCTCTCGCCGTGGTCTCCGGTGTGGGGCGGCGCGGGCAGCGGAGGTGGTAAGTTGCTCCCTCCCAATCCGTCCCTCGCGGCTGGGTGGTGGCGCTCGGCTCGGGTGGGTCCCCCTGGTGGCGTCTCTGGGCGGCGGCGGCGACAGCTCGGCCACCCTCCCTCTCCTGCGTCTGGCGGCGGCCGATGCCTCCCGGTGCCTTGGGCCTTCAACGCGGGGGCGGAACTCGGTTTCAGGTGGGAGCTGGAGCCGGCAAGCGTCGGTCATGGACATGTGCCACTTCTCCACCTTCCCCTTCCCCCGGTTGATGTATGGTTGCGGCCCTTCCCGTGGCAGCTGGCCGCCGGCGATTTTGGAGGTGGTTGGGGTTGCTGATCTGAGCAAAGCCGTGGCCTTTGGTTGCTACAGGGTGGTCTCATGGCGGGGCGGCGGCCCTGGTGGTGGGAGCCGTGCGTTGGTCGTGGGCGGGCTGCGCGGCTCGGATGCGGGCAGGCAACCATGGTGAAAGTGCAACTATCCCTAGGTGGTTTTGGTAATTCATAACAACATATAGCTCATTGAGCTAATGCTATTCCAAGATGATTATTTCAGAAAAGCTCAATGATTGGCATGGCATGGATGGTGAAAGTGGAACCCTCAAAATGCTAAGGACAAAGGATTGGCTCAAGCTCAAAATCTCAAGACTCTTCATTTTATATTTTAGTGATCCAAGATCACATTGAGTCTTTAGGAAAAGCCAATACTATCAAGGAGGGATGAGGTGTTGCTTAATGAGCCTCTTGCTTCATGTGCTTAGTGATATGCTCCAAAACCCTCAACTACTTTCCCATATCCACATATGACCTAAGCCCTAAGCCAAACTCGGTCCTACCGATTCTATCTATCCGGCGCCACCGAGTTTCATATGTCATTAGGCACTGCCAAACCCTAGCAATTCGGTTCTACCGATAGGGATCTCAGTCTCACCGAGATGGGATTGCAAACTCTCTGTTTCCCTTTCGTAACTTTTCGGTCTCACCGAAAGAGCGGATCGGTCCCACCGAGATTGCAATGTAAACTCTCTGTTTCCTTTTTGTAACTTTTCGGTCTCACCGAAAGAGCAAATCGGTCCCACCGAGTTTGCCTGACCAACTCTCTGGTTAGCTAATTACAAAAATCGGTCTCACTGAGTTTGTGTAATCGGTCTCACCGAGATTACGTTATGCCCTAACCCTAACAAAATCGGTCCTACCGAGTTGCATGTCAGTCCCACCGAAAATCTCTAACGGTCACTAGGTTTACCTTTTCGGTCCGACCGAGTTTGTTGATTCGGTCCCACCGAGATTGGTAAATTGTGTGTAATGGTTGGATATTGTGTGGAGGCTATATATACCCCTCCACCTCCTCTTCATTCGTGGAGAGAGCCATCAGAACACATCTACACTTCCAACTGATATGTTCTGAGAGAGAATCACCTACTCATGTGTTGAGACCAAGATATTCCATTCCTACCATATGAATCTTGATCTCTAGCCTTCCCCAAGTTGCTTTCCACTCAAATCTTCTTTCCACCAG